CTGAAGGCAGCATCCATCACTGAAGGCAGCCTCCATCACTAAAGGCAGCCTCCATCACCGGGATGAATCTCGAGGAACTGTAAGACTTCATAGGCCGCAGTTTTACCGCAAGCATGAATAAGCACGACAAAGAAAGATTAAAACGTGAACATTCCGGATTATTTTGTTCCCTCCAGCCTCCCTGGCTCGCCACGGTGTTGAACGCATCAACGTTCGTTGTAGTCCTCCGTAACCCGGATTTAATAAATGTATCAGTATGGCGTATTTTTTTCATGTAACCTCGAGATTCGTGCGCAACTCACGAACTTAATGAAAAAACCTGAAGAAAATCAAGCAGGTTGATTTTGAAAAGAAGACTAGTCGCAGAATAAGCTTTTTAATGGGACAAGGTTTCGCTCTGTTAGGTCGTCATGTTGAAGCTTGACGCAGGGCGAAAAGTCGTAAAAAAAAAAAAAAAGCTTGTTCTGGAACTTGCATGTTTTCTGATGCCAACAGAACATCATGTGGATCCAGACTCAATTCTTATTAAACAGGAAATTGTCCCAAAATGAACAAAAAATGCATTAGTAACAGGAATTTGTACTAAAATGAACAAAAAATTTATCATATTCATCAGGACTGAGAGGGGGGGAGGGGGGGGATGTCTTCATGCTTGTGAAGGTCTCTTGATCGTAGGAGGTAGAGCTACTCTTTCCTCCCTTCCCTCGGATCGAATCTGATTACCTTCCATATCCCAAGCGCTATATTATCCTTATGGTTTTAACGCTTCCCCAATTATTAAAATATAATAACTCTGGATATGCTGTCTAGACGAGGAAAATGCTAGAGACAATCTTATTACCCAGTTTCAAGAGTAGGTATGATAAGGCTCATGACTCCAGGATCTCGCCTTGCATTTTTTGCTCATATATAAATTTTATATTTATATATAAACTTGAATTTTATATACAAGATTTAAATTCTAATCAATACTAGTATACAGATTTATGTAATTTGTAAATGATACTGCCGCGCCATTCGTCTACGAGATAAAAGTACGTGGTCCGTGAATGGGACAAGGGTACTAGGTCCGTCAGATAAACTCTGATGACAACATTAGAGCGCTGAAGAAAAAAATTCGATAGGCTGATGCAGTAGTCGGAGAAGTGGCAGATGTTGTTTGATCGACAAATGTAAGATTCTTAGCCTGGGAGAGGAGAATAACCATGGCACTTATAAACTAAGTAATATAGATCTCACTCCAACTACAAATAAGATTTAGGAGTTCTGGTTAGTTAATCCAAACCAAAACAACAGTGCATAAGTGTTCGCTAATAGAATTCTTAGCTTCATATCAAGAAATATAGATAACAGGAGTCCTCAGAGTCCTTATATATATCTTTTAGTAAGTCCTCGTTCAGTTTACGCTGCACAGTTCTGAATTGAAATGCTCTGGAAAACATAGAAGGATAACGAGGTTTACCCCACGTATCTGAAATCTTTCCTACTAGGATAGACTGAGGGCACCAGATCTGCACTCTCTGGAAAGGTGGAGAATTAGGGGTGGATATGACTGAAGGATTCAAATTGAAAACAGAAATAAATAAAGGGGATATAAATAACGTGCTGAAAATATCTAACCAAGATAGGACTCGCAGAAATAGATTCAAGTTGAGATTTAGAAAACGGTAAAACACTGGTCAGGTAACAGTCGTGAATGAGCGGAGGAAACGTATGAGTAGCGTCATTGAAGAGAACAAATTAGGAACCTTTAAAAATAGGCTAGACAAGTGCATGAGTGGGTGTGGTTGGGTATGAACAGGTCCTACCTAGCATGGTCCAGTAAATAAATTAGACATGTGCAACACTTGGGTATCTTCATTGAGGAAACTTTTCGCCAGAGAGTGACTTCATCAGTCCAATACAAAGAATAGTGAGGATCAGAAGGCGATTAAGGTAATCAGACCCTTAGCCTGGAGCCGATGTAATTAGGCCATCAATCTTAATAAGAATACCGTATATGCCCGAAGGAACTTACATACTGCAGACAAGTGAGGTGAAGCAGTCGTAGGTGGTGTCACCTTAGACAAATCCACAGAGGAAAGTAGGTCATGCCTACAGGCTGGGCAAGCGTAGAATTTCCTGTATCAAGATCCCAAGATGTTGCTGTGTCTGACAGGAATGTTGACAGACGATATCCAAATATTACACACGTGTCTAATACATCAGCTTGTCGATTCTCTAAACCGTTTATCAACACGGGCCAGTAGGCCTGCAACACGGCTCCTCCTCTCCTAAGTTCTTGTCCGTGCACGGGATAAGTGTAAGAAGTCCTTGCACGGGATAAATGTACGAGGTCCGTGCACAGGTTGAGAGTACGTGGTCCGTGCACGGGATGAGAGTACGTGGTCCGTGCACGGGATGAGAGTACGTGGTCGGAGCCTAAGCAGTTCCTAAAGGTCTTCTCTCTTTACAGGTCAACCATTATCGTGGTGAAAACTGAATGGACTCAGAGCTGCAGCGCTCACATCTGGCGCAGCACTCACTCACCTGTGTCAGCGAGAGAGAGAGAGAGAGAGAGAGAGAGAGAGGAGAGAGAGAGAGAGAGAGAGAGAGAGAGAGAGAGAGAGAGAGAGAGAGAGAGAGAAAGCATAAAACATTTCTAAACGCGTCTATGTTTGGGATAACAAAAAAGACAAAAGTAAAATTTCAGTAAAGAGCCTCATTTAGGTGCACTAGGGTGGTGCAACACACACACACACACACACACACACACACACAACACACACACACACACACACACACACACACACAGTGAAGTTTGCAATGTGAAAGGAAGAAAACGTATAATTATCTTATCATTTTCTCAAGTAAATTGATCTTTAGAATACATTTTTCTTGCGGTCCACTTGTCTGCGGAGTGCGGCCCGCCTGGCTGCTTTAAACATTTCGTTTTTGCTTAATTAACACACATCATCTCCTGTCTTGTTGTGCTGACGCTTGTTCAAGGAGAATGCTGACAAAAAGCACTATTTTTTTTTTTTTTGCCTTTTTGTCATGCAAGATCATTGGGGAAAGTGGACAGATTCGCGCAATGACAGTATGTTACATATAAAAACTTACATAATAGCTCTGTGGATAATATATATATATATATATATATATATATATATATATATATATATATATATGTGTGTGTGTGTGGTGTGTGTGTGTTATACATATTATATACATAATTTTACATTATAGCTCTGTGGATATACACACGTGTATCATATGATACACAGACTTGACGCAATTCTAGCTCTGTTGTGGGAATACATATATATTTAATACTCAGACTTATTTAATAGCGCTTTGGATATATGTATCGTTTGTTCCCTCCTTGTGTTACAAATTTAAATTTTTGTCAGGCAAATTTGAAACCGATTTGTTCGCGTGCTAAAATGACTTCGTTGAAAACCCTTTCATTTTCCATGAAGAGGCTGCCGGCTATCCCATTCCAACATTTGTCTTGAGTCAAGACTTTGTTAATGGCTCGGGCAGCCACAGATCAAAAGTTTAGCAACTCCGGCGAGAGTTACTGAGAGGATTGTTCCTCTCTCTCTCTCTTTATTTGACTCTTGTTCCTCGCTTGATGCAGCATTATGTACAGCTCCGGATGTTTCTTATCCGTCAGTGGAAGAGCTTTGGGTGTTACAGGCGCATTATCATGGGTGAGCGTTAAATCTTTATGGATCAATACAACGCACGTTGAATGAGATTCAATAAGATTTGATCTCGGGTAATGTATATAGTGTCCTGACAGAGAGGAGGTGCTTTGAGCTATTTTACATAAACGATCAGCTATCTGCAGTCGCCCAGGACTCGCTACGTGGGAGTAACTGCTCGTGTGAATAAATTGGAGGTGTTGATGGGGTCTTAAGTAAATGTTACTTCTTCGTTGTCTGGTCAGATTTAAGTTCGTTTCTGAATGCCACCTTTCTGACTGATTCTTGGATTGATTTATTACATGAACAATGGCTCTCCGGAGATGGATATTCCAGATTTCAGTCTCCCATTAATTTCAACCGTATATTCTTAAACGTGTGAGGAGTCCTCCCCATGGCTAGCTATGTATATACACTGAGCTTCTTACGTGACACTGTCACCCTGCATACCCACCCACGGTTGTGCGGCGGTGTTACCCAGGAACACTGACACCATCGTCCTGAATCCTCGCCCAGGGACGTGTGGTGGTGTCACTCAGGTCTTGGGACCTAATTTCGGTCCCAAGACTGAAATGTTTTCGTAAGATGCCCGAAGTGTTTCTTCTCAGGCGTCTTTAATCACCACCAAACAAAAATAAAAGTTTTACATCCACCTGGCTGTAAGGTAAGAAGACATTTCGCCCACCAGGGTCTTGGAGAACTTATAAAATCCCTGGTGGATAAAACGTCTTTTCATTAATATGCCATAAATTGTTATGGAATCAATAATCACCGACCTACTTGTCGGTGCATAATATACTTGACAGTGTATAACGTACTTATTGGTGTATTCATACACTTTTCGGTGTATTAATATACTTGTCGGTGTATAATAACGTTTACATATACATGTAATCCTCTTGTATATCAAAAGTCTTGAAAACACAGTATTTTTTTTTGCTAGTACCACATATCGCTGTGCAAACATTTATGAGGAGCATAACGTTATCAGAATAAAAGCTGGTTGTGCAGCACGTCATTGAGATCAGTCCTGAAGACTGATCTCAACGCAGCACGTCACTGAGATCAGTCCTGCTGACTGATCTCAATGTCGTTCTGCAGACTGCAACTAGAACACGTTTAATAATAATAATATTTAATAATAATCTCTATGTATATAAGTACGTCATTCAGATCAAACTTATACCTGGAGTATATATGGTGTATTTCGGGGGTCAAGGCCCCCGTGACCCGGTCTGTGTTTAAGTGATTAGAACCCCATACTTGTCTTGTAGGGTAGAGTGACCTAATTTTGAGCTTTGACCTTGGCAGGTGGCCGCGGTTGGCAGGTCATGGATGGAGTGGGAAGACCGCCAGCGCCGTGATACCGAGGACTGGCCTCCCCCCCGCCCTCCAGATTTCCCCTCTTTCCCTGATGGCCCCTGGGGGGAGAGCCACGCCTGGGAGGAGAACGACGACCACCACCACGCCAGCCCCTTCGACGACAGCCCCTGGGAGGACTTCGCCTGGGGAGGGGATGACTTTGAATCCCCTGAGGGCGATGCTGTTGTGGATGGGTGTGAGTGTGGCGGCCCCCCGCCTCCAGTATTCCACCTGCCGCCGCCTCCACCAATGCCCAAGGTGCCCGAGGAGGAGGAGGGATCTGGGTGCGATGCCCCGCCTCCTGCTGAGGTGTGCCCCGCCCTCCTGGTGGCAGGAGGTGCCCACACACACCAGAGACTCCACCCACCCCTGGCAGCTCTGGTGGTCGCTGCTGCAACCCTCACTGTCGTCTTTATTATTGCTGCTCTTGTCTGCTGGAGGTCAGCAACACCTGGTCATACATACACACGTATACACATATACATACATATATACACATACATACACTCACGCATGCACAAATACACACATACAAAATAGTAATGTAAAATATCTGTTTCATTAATTATATTGTTTGTGTGAATTTCTACAAAATATTCCTTACAAGGGAGCGGGGACCCTGTGATACCCTGATTTTCCTTGGAATAAACCTACTTACCCCCCATTCCCCCGGCCTTATATGATCCCTTCACGTTTAACCAGTGATTTTTTCCAATTTAAAATAATTTTGCCTTCCTGAGATTTTATATATATATATATATATATATATATATATATATATATATATATATTTTATATATATATATATATAGTCGTGCCGAATAGGCAGAACTTGCGATCTTGGCTTAAATAGCAACGCTCATCTTGCCATATAGGACAAGTGAAAATTTGTGTATGCAATAATTTCGCCAAAATCATTCTGAACCTAACGAAAAAAATATATTTGATTGTGTTTGTTTAATACTAAATTATTGTAAATGTATTTAAAATATATTTAGTTGGGTTAGGCTAAAATAAATTGCTCTTGTTATAATAAGGTTAGGTATGTTTTCTAAGATTCTTCTGGTGCAAAATTAAAATTTTTTACATTAATATTAATAAAAAATATATATCTTTAAACGTATAAGAGAAAATTTCAGAAAGAACTTAATTTTAAATGAGTTCTTGCTAATTGACCAGTTTTACATATTCGGCACGACATTATATATATAATATATATTATTATATATATGATATATATAATATTATATATATAATATATATTATATATATATATATATATATATATATATATATATATATATATATATATATTATATTTATACTATATATATTATATATAATATATAATATATATATATATATATATATATATATTATATATATTATATATATTAATTATATTTTATATATATATATATATTAAATATATATATATATATATTAATATATATATTATATATATTATATATATATTATTTATATATATATATATATTAATTATATATATTATATAATTATATATATATATATCATATATATATATATTATATATATATATATTTATATATATAATATATATTATTATATATAATTATATATATATATATATAATATATATATATATAATATATATAATATATATATATATATATATATAATTATAATATTATATATTAATATATATATATATATATTATATATATATATATATATATATATATATATATATATTATATAATATATATATATATATAATATATATATAACAATATTATACTAATATATAAATATGTTATATAAGATTATATATTATTAATTATATTATATATATAATATATCAACACACACACACACACACATATGCAAGACAAGCCACAGGGGTGGAAATCTTTAGCTCAAGTACTTCCACACTTCTCAGTGCGTCATCAGGAGCTATGCAAGTTGCAACTGAAGGAGTGAGGGGAAAGTTTATCTCAGAATCGCGCAGAGTGGGTCTGTCACCTCCTCCTGGCTCTCTTAGAGTGCGGACAGCGTCACACCACCAATGCCACCATCCCCCTCCTGAGAGTTTGAAAGTACTTAAGCATGGTTAAGATCTCCTGTCTGCGATTGTTTACATATATATATATATATATATATATATAATATGTTATATAATATATAATATATATTATATATATATATATATATATAACAATGCGCTTACCCGGGGGATCATACCCGTGTTGTTTTAGCCCACCTCATGGTGAGCGAAAATTCACAACGCTCTAACCCACTGGATCATACAATCCTACAAAAAATCATGCACCCAGCAGAGCTAGGTGTTGTCCCGTGATCCAAGGACATACGGTGGTGTGGATGCTTCAGAGCTAATTTCATTCTATTTCCCATTTGTTGTACTAGCCTCCACAAGCAGTATATATAATATTGTAACCACGAACAAGTGGTATTTAATCAGTAACACTACGACTAGCCGGAGGATCGAACCAGTGTGTTATTGATTAAATACCACTTGTTCGTGGTTACTGTACTATATATACTGCTTGTGGAGGCTAGTACACCAAACGAGGAATAGAATGAAATTAGTTCTGAGGCACCCACACCATCGTATGTCCTCGGATCACGGTACAACACCTAGCTCTGCTGGGTGCGTGATTCTTGTAGGATTGTATGATCCATTGGGTTAGAGCGTTGTGGAGTTATCGCTTACCATGAGGTGGGCTAAAACAACACGGGTTCGATCCCCCGGCTAGTCGCAGTGTTGTGTTGTTGATTAAATACCACTTGTTCGTGGTTACAATACTAAATATGTATATGTATATAATATATATATATATATATATATATATATATATATATATATATATATATATATATATATATTATATATATATATATATATATATATATGCTGAGAATCTTTTAATATATATTTTATGAATCAGTGTGTTTTTGACTTTTAGTGAGCGGGTGACATGCAACCTTACTCGTGCAGTCGATAGTCCTGAAACCCAGTTAACTAACCATCATTCTTCTTAAATCACCCTATAAAGTTTTTCCTCTCTCCAAAATTTAATACAAAATTTTTTTTTTTAACGTCTGAATGGATTCCCCCCCCCCCATACAACGTTCCCATGTCTATGGGTCCTCACTCCTCCGGCAGATACAGACGGCAGCGGGCAAGACGAGGACCTTCCAAATCCAGCAGTGACCTCACCAACGGTGTCATCTACGAGGACCTTCCTTCAGGTCCCACGCCCAGAGTGGTGCCTGCCTCCCACACCCATACCAGTGACACTCATACACTCGCACCCATGGAGGTCAGTCCGTGTACCTACTGTCAAGGTCTGGCTTTAGAGAGTAAATATCTGAAAAAAATTGTTTCCCAGCCACTTTGTATAATGTTATGTAGGATGTGTGGCATTATGTATAATTATGTGCGATGTGTCGATATGTATAATCTATGCAAAACGTCATAAGTAAAAAATGGTTCTGCACATAGTCCCCATTCCAACACAGTAACTTATTTGCTGCTGACGAAGGCTTGGGTTAGGAACTGAAAGGCCAAAGATCTATTTCTAAACCTTCCTACTCCTCGGTTTAAGACACATGTGCAACATCTGGGTATCTTTATTGTAGACGTTTTGCCATCCAGTGGCTTTATCAATACAAATTCCAGGACATAACTTGAAGACAGTAGGACTATATACAGAAGATGAGGTAATCAGTCCCTCAACCTAGGAGTAGGTGCGAAGACCACCATAGTCGTGGAGATTCTGAAGCAGAAGCCTGGCGCTTATATACTAACGTCAGGTGTATCAGATGAGGGCATAGTCAATGGTTAGGTTAGGTAAGGTTCGTCAGGAAACAGGACAAATGTTTCCTGACGCGGGTCTTAGTCAGATGATGACCCGCCTTTGGAGCTTTTGGTCATCTGACCGAGGCCTTCCGCTGGCTTACCGGTCCACCCCTTTAAAAATTATGGTCATTTATAACCATTATTCATAGTCACTGGTAGGCGGGATTCCCCAGTGGAAGTAGGTCCTTCCCAAAGAGATGGGTTAGTTGTAGTAGTAGTTGTCGTAGTCGTGAAGGTTATGTACATGTCCTCAGAATCAAGATTCCATGATGTTGCAGTGTCTGACAAGTTGTGCAAGAATGCATATTGTGGCTTATTGATAAAGCCACTGGATGGCGAAACGTCTACAATAACGATACCCAGATGTTGCACATGTGTCTTAATTTCATCTTGTCGGTATTATATACCATTCTTGCACAACTCCTCGGTTTATTTTCATAGTTTGTCTTCTGTGACTTTATTGCGCATATTATATATATATATATATATATATATATATATATATATATATATATATATATATATATATATATATATATATTATATGTGTGTGTGTGTGTGCGCGCGCGCGCGCGTGTGTGTACTCAACTAGTTGTGGTTGCAGGGGTCGATTCACAGCTCCTGGCCCCGCCACTTCACTCATCGCTACTAGGTCACTCTCCCTGAACTATGAGCTTTATCATACCTCTTCTCAAACCTATGTATGTATCCTGCCTCCACTACATCACTTCCCAGACTATTCCATTTCCTAACAACTCTGTGACTGAAGAAATGCTTCCTAACATCCCTGTGATTCGTCTGAGTCTTCAACTTCCAATTATGACCCCACATTGCTGTGTCCCATCTCTGGAACTTCTTGTCTCTGTCCACCTTGTCGATTCCTCTCAGTATTTTATATGTCTTTATCATACCCCGTCCCCTATCTCCTGTCCTCCAGTGTAGTCAGGTCGATGTGTGTATGTGTGTGTGTGTGTGTGTGTGTGTGTGTGTACACATTCCAGTTTTCTGTTGTTCCTTTAATTTATAGTCATTTTATTCTCTTCTCTCCCTTCTCATACTTCATGTTCAAGTATTTTTTGCATTCTCCATTCAGTTACCAATTCTCAAACTTCTCTCCCTCCCTCATTGTTGTGTATCCACGTCCATTTTCACAACGAAAGGGAAACTGTGATTATATCTTGTACCCGGAGGTATTCATGTGTTCCCATTCCAGGTGTAGGAAGCTTGTGTATTCTTTTCTGACTTTCACACAACTCTCGATACTTCCCCCACGACCCTTAACACTTCACGTCTTTCCCCTCTCCCTTCCCTTAACTGTGCCTCACGTCTTTCCCCTTTCCCTGCCCTTAGCTACATCTTATCTCTTCCCCCTCCCTCTCCTCACTCTTTAACAACACATCACCTCTTTCTTTTCTCTCTCTCTCTCTCTTCCCCCTGCACCACACGTCTTCTCCCCTCCCTCTCCCCTTCTTCAGGTTAAACCACGTCTTCCCTCCCCTCCCTTCCCCTACATACTCTTTCCCCTCTACCGCCCGTCCCCTCAGCAATAATTGGACCACCACCTCTCACCACTCTCTCCAATATCACGGCGTCTATTCACCCACTTTCACTAAAATTGCTTCCTAGGTATTTGGAATTCTGAACGCACCTCAGCCTGCCCCTCCCTTTCTTTCTCTCTCTCTCTCTCTCTCTACACAGGGTTTGGTTAAGGTTCCTAACCTTATTTACAAGCTAAGAGGTGTTAGCTACATCTCTCTCTCTCCCTTATTCTGTCTTAAATATCTGAACTCTAAAGAATAAATATACCTGCCTGTCATCTCAAGTAACGGCCCAGTTTCTCTCACACACACACACACACACACACACACACACACACACACACACACACACACACACACACACACACGCGCGCGCGCGCGCGCTTTAAACATCCCTCGCTCCCAGAGGATAAACTTGATTTAAAAAACTTTTCCCTGTGCACAATAAACACTCATCTTTCAGTCATTCTTCAGAATTTTATGTCCGTCTTGAAAGCTTGCTAACTACTACTGATGTCGCAAATACCATTACTTACTAAAATAACTACTACTAATGTCGTGAATACAATTATTAAAATTACTTCGTGTCTTGAATACAATTACTAAAATTTCTTCTAGTGTCGTGAATACAGTTACTTAAAATGGAACTTTTAGCTGTTATCAGTAAGGTCATTTCCTCAATATTCGTTGCACAACTGAAGAACGATAATTATATTCTCATGGCGAGGCGAGACATATAGGCAAGCCTCTTCTCGCCTGCTGCTCCCATTCCCTATTCACCCAGCAGTAAACAGATACCTAGGAGTTTAGTCGAGGGTTGTGGGTCGTATCCTGAGTCGGGAGGCCAGAGTCCCCAGTGGAAATAAGTTACACTGGCTTTCCTGGATTATCCTGGATGAATAACCTTCTGGGTTTCGTAATCTGGAAAAAGTTTCCTCCTCCTTCTTCCTCCTCCTCCTTCTTCCTCCTCCTCCTTTTCATCATCTTTCTCTTCACGATGTTACCAGCTACAGCAATCAGCCTCAGAGATTCTAGTTCCAGTATTTCCTGGAATATTCTGAACAAGAGCTGGCTTCCAGTCCCTTAACTTTGGATACCAGCTGGCCAGCCACTGTCATTAATAGAGATGGGAAGAAAGGCTGGATGAGAATACCTCTACATATAATTAGCCTTCCTCGACCTGGCCACGGACCGGGCCGCGGGGGCGTTGACCCCCGAAACCCCCCTTCAGGTATACCTGCACCCAGATATAAATATCTTGAACGCCTTGACGTAGTTGTGAAACACACACACACACACACACACACACACACACACACACACACACACACGACACGCAAGCAGCACACAGAAAAGAAAAATATTGACCATGGGAGGACAGTAGTTAAAAATTAACTGCAAAAACTGGGAATCACACAGAGGAGCAGAAAAAGAAAAATGAGTTAAAATCGACATGAAAACAGATTGAGCAGACGAGTCAAAAATTAATTAGGAATTTCAATGCGGAATTTCAGTGCAGGTGATAATGCAGCCAGGAGTCATGTAAGTTAAAAATAGTGTGATGACATGTGAAATATATCTCGTGGAGAGAGAGAGGGGAAAGAGAGAGAGAGAGAGAGAGAGAGAGAGAGGAGAGAGAGAGAGAGAGAGAGAGAGAGAGGGTGGGATGGTAATATTGTCATTAGAAACAGTGAATATTCCTCTTGCTATTAATCTTGGTAATTGATACCGACAAACTGATATAAAGAGAAACGTGAGTGAACACCAGGATATATTAGAGAACGCTGCAGTCCTGGGACCTTAATCACTTCTACCACATGTTAAAGTGACGGAGAAGAGGTGTTAGAGATGCATGGTGACCTGAAAAATGCCATATTTGGGAGGTCATGTGATCAAGGTACCAGGGGTGAAACGTTTTCTAACAAACATGTCGCAGTGTTCATGTATTTTCTTAAAACCAATGTTATTCTTAACCCAAGTCATGGGTTGTGCGTGTGTGTGTGTGTAACATATGATGTGCTGGAAGGACTTCCACCTCATTTAAGATAAAGAATCACCGCGCATTACGTCCCCACGATATAAAAAAAAAAAAAAAAGTCGTCATCCTGAGATGCTCAAATGAAAGCTTTTGTTAAACAGTCATTTTGAACATTAGCAGATTTTAAGACAGTGTAAACAGCTGTCATAGGGAGCGTAGGAATATTTCTTTGTATATAACGCATTCAACGTACATGATCAATCCAAATGCACAGTATATGGTCACCTCTCTCGTCACTATCTTAAACACTGTGCTTAATTGTCCACTTATTGAGGAATATATAGTATAATAACCTATGTGACATGTCTAAATATATTAATGAAAATAAGATACAAATTTCCTAAATTTGCTTGTAACAGATAAGTGAACTGTAGATGTAAATCCAGATGTACTTCTGTTAACTCTTTTGGGGCCTAGTTCCTAGGCCTTTTGTGTATCCACAGGATGGATATGAGGTGCACAATAGACTAGCCACTTCGGTGGCAAAATCTATGTGCACATGAGGAGTGTGCACTTAGATTTTATGTATGTTATTCAAATAGACACTCCTCACACCGGAACCCCACATTTTGAAGAATATATGAGCAAAATAGAAAACAAAATCTGGAGACATGCAACAAACGCGTTCAAGAATTTAGAAATCTAAGTTCGAAGACTTGAGACATTAACGCCGAAGACAGTGAGAAAATATCGTAGAAATACAATCAATCTCCGCTTCTAATGTATTAGTTTATAATTAACATAGCACAATTTTTGAAAAAAAAAAATATAAACATCGCGACAGGTATAGTAGAAGAGAGCAGTTATTGGGGGGATTTAAAAAAAGTACCGATATTTGTAAATGTCACTATATTCGGAACGACGAAATAATTTTTGAGTTCTTGTGATTCAGTTTTTTGTATAACTCTTGTTATTTTATTATTGAAAATAAGTGATCATGGCACCGAATAAGAATAAGGAAAGCTGTAAGAACTACCACTGAACTAAAAAAAATGAACAACACACGAAACAGAATACGTCTTGCTGACGTAGCCAAGGAATGTGACATGTCAACATCTACCGTATTTTTTATTATGAAAAATAAAGGCACACTAAAACGTGCTAATTTGGCAACGAGTTTAAATTCTTGCAGGTTCATGCATAATGTCTTGCTTGTACATGTTATTTTACAAGTTTAATTAACCAATATTCTGACTTAAAAATGGTTTGTGTAGAGTAACTGTCGGGGTCTGGGAAAAAATTAATCCAATTTACATTTTGTTGTATTGATCCAATATTGAGAAAATTAAATATTCAGAACACTCTCAGGAACCAATTCTGAATACAGAGGTTCTGTATATACATATATATATATATATATATATATATATAATATATATATATATATTATATATAAAGTTTATAATACTAGTAAGATATTCAAGGGTATGAGTCGCAAAATAGATTTTTTTTAATACGTCTCACATTCACTTCAATGATTGTTACTTTACGTGTTCCTCAAAATAAACATCAAATTCTAGTTAGAACGATTATATTTTCGTGTATAACAGACGAAAACTGTTTCTAGAAGTATATCTATCTAGTGGTAGCGGCAGATGTATGAAACTAATGAAGCTTAAGCTTCAGGGGGCCCCTAATTCCTGAGGGGCTCCAAAAACCACTTTAAAAATTTTGGGTATACTGTCTGAGAAGGATTTAAAAAATAATATAGTTTAATTCAATACAAAATAATTAAAAAATAAAAGCTTATTTAAGAATCATGTAGGCTGGCTGTTGATGATTGCGAAAGGGCCCCCATAACAGTTCAGGGCCCCAAAAAATGTAGGTCCACCACAGTGTAGGGGCCAGCCTAGCTACCACTAATAGAGCAAGACGGGACACCACGAGCGCAACTTGACTCTCAGAGCTACAAGTCAGTAAAGACGTATTATGCAAAACAAAATTTTTGACAAGGATAAAGATATACAAAATACCGATGGAATGTGTCAAGACACTTAGGCATATTTAGGACATTTCATTGAAGATGTTTCCCTACTGTGGGCGAAACGTCATATAGAGTGGGTAAGGTGGTCACAAAAAGCCTCAAGTAACTTCTCCATATATCCTAACTCTGACTCTTAACCTCTCTCCTCCTCCTTAGTTGGGTATCTATATTTTTGAAACGTTTCGCCTATATTTTTTAGGCTTTCTGCCATTTTTGGAAAATGTAAAATTTTTCCGTTTAAATTGGGAATTTTTTGGTATGGAGCATCAATTTAAAGGGACCAACTGAAAAAGGCTCCTTCAGTAAAATGTGTGAGTGTAGGCTTACCTGTTTTTACTTCCACAAATTAGTGTAACAGCCAGGAGAGTTGGATGTATATTAAACTAATTTCTCCCGTTCGTCCAGCAGTTCGTGTGTATTATGAGTGTCAGACGCAAGAACCAGCCTGGACTCTTTATGTATGACACACCATTTGGCATCTGTCATGCATGTTACGCCATCTGGGATCCGTCATATTATACACCAACTGAGACGTGATACACAAAACCACTAGTTAGGACCAGTCATATATAACACCCGCGCGCGCACACACACACACACCATCTACTACCCGTCATACATGACACACAAACACCAGCTGGAACCCGTCATGTCTGAGTCAATACAGCACTAGCGAGGCCTGGGAGCCAAACTCCAAGTTCCTGCTGTTTGCTCACTCAGGCCAAGACTTCAAAGCAAGATTCTCTGTGATTCCAAGCACAGATGAACACGAGTATTTATCATTTTATATTTCACGTTCCACTGACACTACAGTACACAGCTTGCGTCTCTCAACACGTCATATATATATATATATATATATATATATATATATTATATATATATATATATATATATATATATATATATATATATAATATATATATATACACGTATATATATAAATTTCTGTTTGCAGTTGCTGGACATGAAGCTTACGTCTCACGTACATAACACGACGTACGGAGGGGCAGAGAGCACGACGCCCACGCTGCTACAGCAGTACCAGACGCCTCAAGCACTCTCACCCACGTTCACCCACGCCCACACCTCACCACCCTACTCACCCAAGCAGACCTACGACGCCCACCGCTCCAGTAGAAGTTCCCAGGAGATATATAACCCCACCTACGAGGAGATCTCCACAGGTGAGTCTCTTTGATGTACCTCAAGCCTCGTGTGACGAGTTTTGGAGACCACATATTGGAAGGTAAATAATCTTTTTCCTTTAGCTTTGAGAAATTAGACTCTTCTCTGGTATTAAATATTTTTATTATAATTTTTATACAAGGTGGTAAACCTAAATAAATCGTTCAGTACAAATAGTGGAGGCTTGATCCTCCGTCCGTTAATCACGAGCAAGTTTAGTAAAGTTTTGATCATTTCCAGAGTGCCTAGCATGTGTCACATGTGTGTGTGTGTGTGTGTGTGTTTTTACCTGCTTCGTCTGCACCGAGTGCCACCGGTGCCATATCCTGGGCGAGAATGCCTTTGCTTCCTTGTCGGTGCTCGGAGGTTCGAGTCTGCAGGGTTTCGCAAAGATATATACATGTTTCATATGTTTGATTGTGTCTTCTTCAGGTAGTGACACCACCTCCGTCAGCAGTGCCAGCGTCAGCTCGGAGGGCACTGGGGCCTCGCAGTCCCGGGAGCAGCGGCTCGGAGACGGTCCGGGACCTCCGGGTATCGTGTGGTCGGAGCCGGGAAGCTGCGCTTGTTCGGGCCGCCGCGCGGCGCAGGGACGCCGTGGCATGCGCGGCCCTGGGCGACCACGTAAGCCCCGGGCCACCAGCAGTGCCACCAGTACCGGCACTACCGAAGGCAGCGAGTACCACGAGGCACTGCTGCCTCAGCTGGTGCCATCTCTAGCCATAAAGGGTACGGCGCGGCACCCAGGCTTGCCCTATACCATACAGGGCACGAGCGATGGTCGTACATCCACCTCCTCGTCCTCTGATCTTCCCGTGGACCGCTGCCTGGCACCCAGAGAGCCACGCTACTACGTGGGGGTGCCGCCCCCTATAAACCGCAGCCCCAACACCCCAGAGGGCCCAGGGCGAGGGCCCCCTGGCCTCCAGTACGGAGGGGACTCAATAGAAGGGTCCTCAGGGGCGTCTACGTGTGGGGGGGAGCGGCCTTCCCCTACGGAGAGGGGGCTACCCCCTTTGCCCTCTCGTAGCGATCGCTACCGCATCTACTTCACGACGGAGCGGCGGCGGGTAGCGGAAGTAGCACCGCATCCCGCCGCAACGCGAACCTTGGACCCCGCCGCCAGAAAGCGGCAGAGGCGCCACGACGCTACCGGCGCCAGGGAGAACGAGCCTCTCTACCACGAGCTGTAGCCGCCACCCCGTGTAACGCACCTGCCACCCTGTGTAGCACACCTGCCACCCCGTGTAGCACACCTTCCACTCGTGTACCACACCTGCCACCCCATGTAAAACACACCTGTCACCCCCATGTAACACACCAGAAATGCAATGTAACAAGTGCCACCAATGTAGCACACCTGCCACCCCGTGTACTATACCCTGCACTCCTTCCACACCTGCCCTCTAGCTCATTCTGAACACATCTCAACACAGTATCACAAATAATATGCATCACACCCATATTTAACACTTTTCTTACACACACACACACACACACACACACAGTAGCACCCTCTGATGACGTTATTAGTTTACCAGTCATTTTTTTAACTCAGGCCTCTGTACCTAAAATAAAGAGTTAATTTGACGTTGTGATAATGAAGTTTCTAGTGGAGGACTCAAAGAGCTACCATACAGTGCAGAAAGCTTAAGATGGGATTCGAACCGGGGTCCTGCACGTTCATAAATCCAACTGCTCATCACTGTACCCAGAACTAGTTGAACATCAGGTTTCTGGTTCTGTTGCTGAAGGATTAAACACCCCCACCTTAGTTTTCACCTGATTTCGCTTCCATCTCGGCACAATTAACACGGTTCTTCTGCAGCTTAACTTGAAACCTGGAGTGATTTACAGGTTCTGTTGCCGTCAAGTAGTAGTTGGCTGAGGGGTTAGCATGTGGTTTTAGGACTATTCAGTACCCCAGTTAGAACCCCACCCAATTTAAATTCTTAGTTTCACGTTATACATATATATATTATATTGCCCCAGAACAGTGTATACCTATTGTTATCTCTTTCATTGTATAGTTTACTGAAAATACAGTTTGACAATCTTGTTCTCAGAATCAGTTCATCACTCCCTTGTAAAGATGGGGGTAAGATACTAGAAAGATGCACAAAGCCTCGTGGCACATTCTTTGTTACATTACCAGAAAAACTGAAAAAGAAAGTTTTATTTACTGATCAAAAACTAAGACTTTTCTAATGGAATCTCGAGTGGCTCAAAGACTGAGCCAGTGTGGTGGTCACAAATAAAAGGTACAAACTATAATAAACCACACCCGGTGATGGTGAGGGAGATAATTAGGTCACCTACAAACGAGTGTGATAGTGAGTGTTATGGTGCAGAAACAAGTAGTCAGGACCCACTGTAGTCACGGTGATCAGAGTGACAGGTGTAATCAGGTGATAAGAGTGGGAAGTGACTAATACATTTGGCTTAGAAAAAAAAAATATCCCAAAGAACACAAATTTACTAGTGAGAGGGAAAAGTAATGTTGAAGAGAGAGGGAGAAATGCTTGCTGACCTGTGGAAAAATGATTGCAAAAAACTATACAAAATCACAGGAAGCAAAATGCGTGAAAGTTTGTGTCTCCACGTACCTGCGTGTGTGTACATGTACGTGTGCGTCTCTTCTAAACAGAAAATCAACAGCTTCAGATGGAAAACTTTTGCAGAGGTGAAAAATAAAAAGTTTCACGGAGCCCCAGTGATCATTGTTACCAGTGATAATACACATATCATAAAGCTTCTCTTTTTGTCCCCCTTTCTAATTTCACTGTTTATATTTTGCTAGAGCTTTTTATCTCTCTGTTACTGTCTCTTCCTAGAATTCTCATTCTCTCCTTCCCATATATCTCCCTCTCTCTTTCAAAATCTTATTCCACCTGTCGTTTCTAGAGAGTGACAGGTATATATGGTATATTTTATAACACCTTCCTCATACCCAGCCATCACTTTGAAATAGCATTACCCCACTAAAGACAAATTTCTAGAATTTGAACATTTCTTCCAGCAAAAAATGTATTAGAAATATCAACCCCAATAACTTATAACCAAATTCCACCTAGTCTCAGATTCTAGAATTTTGTCAAAATCTGCAGTTCAATATATATACAGAGCAACCCACTTTTTCTGTGAGATAAAACATGAAGTTTAGATCATCGTTTAGGAAACAAGAACTTGCAGTTAGCAAGCCTTAAATAGCCAGAGTATCACCTGCATTTAACCAAACCAATAATCAAACTTCAAGGAGTAATCAGTTATCACCCTTATGGGGCGGCATCTCAAGGCTCATAGGAGTGGTTATTGATGCACCAGTTTCCGTTTTCTGTTGTGTATCCTCCGAGTGAGGCCAAACATTTTTATGGGAAGGGCGAAAGTATGTATCAAAATATACATAATCGGATTATACTGTGCAGTCCTTATAT